GATGAAGGGGTACAGAGGAGCGGGGGGACGGTGGAGGAGTTTTCGAGGGTGCGAGGATATTGAGGGGCGTTCGTGAGGGTGGCGGGAGCGGGGTGCGCTGAGGAGGTACAAGGGGGTGAGTGCTGAGGGTGTGGGGGTGGCTGGGGAAGGGGTAGGGGTAGGGAGGACTTTGGGCAGGGTGCGCCCTGGGAACGGCCGGTGTCGGACGCTGATCTCACACAATCACCTCACGCTTGTGTGACCGGGTAGATGTGGCGTCCGTTTCCGGTGTAGACTTCAAAAATGCCAAAACACACAACCCCCTCCAAAAAAAATAAGTTGCACAAGCTGTATTTAACAGCTTAATTCGCGTCATATTCCGCAAAATACCAAAAAAATGCGTGTTTGTGGAACTGAAGTTGCAAACTGACGTCGTTGAATTCTACGTGTTTAACTTAAAATCCAAGAAACTAAATGCACAAAATATTAGTGCCTAAAATTGTCCACTCATTATTAAACTTCTAATACTTGTTGCACACTTACAGCAAAACAATCATAGTGTGGTTGTGCTTAGTGTATTTTATACTAACGTAAAGTTTAAGTTTGATAAAGAATGTGAAAGCATAGCTTTCTAATTCCTTACTCATGAAACACTTCTGTTCCAGGTTTATGTTGTGCATTTTTCATAGGGTCAGCATTTTGTGTCATGTCTGGAGTTTAGACTTTCCATGACACTGCTAAACACCTCGTTTCAGGATAAACCTGGATTGGGTAGAAGTTTGAGAATGGTAGCAAACTCTCGCTCTTTGCAAATACTTATTAAAATGTCTTTTCTTTTTTTTTTTAATCTGTAATTACAGGAGAGCAAAGGCTGGCTGAATGAGTCTTAAAATAAGTCACAAGCAATGCACAGACAACCTAAGAACATAAATGCTCCCCTAGAAGAGAAAGAAAATGAGAGTAAACATGCTGAAGAAAAGGAAGAGGCTTCTTTCCCTGCTCTGTCAAGAAAACAGAAGATTTGCAAAGTGACCAAATCAAAAGTCATAAAGGCATCCAAGAAGGAGAATTTAAGTGATGGGAACCAGGCACAGTTGCAAAAATGCACCCTGAAGTACACCAAAGGCCTGGAGAAGGGGTCGTGCCACAACAGGGAGGATGTTGTTAGCTCTCAGTTTACTGAGTGCTTTTTCAGTAGGCTGAAAGGGGATGTGCTTGGTGAGCGTACCTTGCCTTTGAGCAGTAAGGAAAACCTGGCAAGAATTAGACCTGTTTCTCTGGGGGATGAGTGCTGCTTGACACCTAAGAAGGAGAAAGCAGAAGAAAAATCAGGTTCTGGAATATCAGAGAATCAGAGGAAAAAACCTGTTGATTTTGCAACTGTGACAATTGCTGAATTTGGGATCTCTCAAGAAAGTTTTACTAAACGATCTCTAGGTAAGGCTGATGTGACTAACGACTGCTGTCCTCAGAGGGACATCTGGAGGTCATCTAGTCCAACCTCTCATCAAAAGCTTCAGTTCAGGTCAGGTTCAGCTTGTCTGCCTGAGTTTGAATGTGCCCAGGGATAGGACTGTGATCTGATGTTGCTTTAAATCACTTTTTAACTTGTTCCTGTCTGGTTGATTTGGTGTCGGTGAGTTTCACAAGGGAGTAGTGAGACAAATCCTGCAAGTGTTTGTAGGCAGTTCCTTAACTTGCAATTGGAGATGTAAAAGAAAGCTGCTCAGTTAACATATAGCATAGTTTAATATTAACTTGCTTTTAGGAAGTTAATTTACTTCTGCTCAGGAAGGTTTCTTTAGCTCAGCAGCTAACTTTGGATGTCTTCATAAGTAGCGTAAATCACTTTTAACAAAACAAAAAGTCATTTTCAAGCTTTAGATGTTCTTACAAAGACAATTTTCCCTCCTGTCCCCATTTCAGGGAAGTCTCCACTTAGTCCATTAAAATATAGACGAAGATCAGCAATTGGAGCACGAGGGTCACCAGAAAACAACTCCCTTATTCAATACCTTGCCCAGCAGAGAAGCAACAGGCAAAACCAAGCTTTTACACAGGTGAGTCTGTCTCAAACATCAGATGTGTCCGTTTAGCTCTCCCCAGGAATCAACACGTGCTGGCAGAAAGAGAAGGCAAGTCTCAGGAAGAAGCCAGTAAATTCTGGATGTGGTCTAGAGGGACAGATTAGGAAAGGCAGTAAAACTTAACAGATCTCTTCATGCAGTTTCCTTTTTTGCATGTTTTTACCATACAATGAAAATTGCAGCCACATGAAGTACAAGATTTGCTTCTTCTCCGAGTTTGTTTTATGCCAAGGTACAAATACGAAGTAATAAGGCCCGTGTCATCTTGGAAAAAATAGTCTCATGAGGTTAATTTTGTTTTAGCAGGCTAGTCCTTTTAAATATGAGAATGTCAGGTCGCTGAAGGACAAGATAAATGCTTTTCAAGCATCTTTTAAATCGGTGCAAGAAGCTGAACGGGAGACTGGCTTCTCTGGACGGTCACAAGTGGATGATGCTCCCCAGGAAGCTGGCTCTTGTAAGTTGTTCGTATCTCTGGTCAATGATTTATCTTAAACATTAGGCCTTCCTTTAGGCCAAGAAGTGTGAAACTACAAACAGTGAATATAAACAGAAAAAAAAGTCTTTATGAGGATCGGCACAGGAGGGTTTTTTGTGCTTGGTTTGAACTTTTTTGGTTTTGTTTAAACTTCTATTTCTTAGTGTATCCTGAACAGTGGTTTCCAGAATAACCCCTGAAGAAAAACAAAGACTAGTATTTTTTGTGACTGTGTTCTTCGATTTATACCCTTCAATGTTTAGTGAAAAGTAAATCAGTGCTTTCACACTTTCCATGGAACTGACAGCGCTTTTTATGACAACTGTTTAGCTGTTGTGACTGTTACCTCTCTTGATTGTGATGTGCAGACTTCTGTTTAATAACTTTTAAGTGCTGTAATTTTAGAAATCCCGTTACATTACTGTGGTGTTATCCTTGTTTATTAATGAAAATAGTAAGAACAGCAAAAGCAAGTCAGGGCAGTACTGCGGTAACTGTGAGAGGATGATAGTGTAAAACAAACTACACTGCTTTACTCTTCTGGTATTGGTGGTCTTAATAACGGTTGCATGAAAAGAACAGCTTGCTTTGTTTTGAAGATGTAGTAACGTTATTTTCAAAGTAGAACAAAGCAGAACTAGGAAAAAAAAAAGCATGTGTTTTCATTTTCCTAACTAGAAAATTACCTAGCCTTTTTGAATCTCACCATCCTTTTGGTGAAGAAACACAAAAGGAGCATTCACTGAAAGATCTGAAGTTTTTCTTTGTGTTTGTTGTTTGGTTTTGGTTTTAATTGATGCAGCTCAGAACAAAGTACCTTTTACAGAAGAGCGGAACCTGGCTCAGTGGAGTGAAAAGTTCACGTTAGGCAACAGTGGAGATGTTTTGAAAGAAAGTTTAAAACATAATTTGACCAACAGCAGTCGGTCTGCTGTCAAGATATGCACCATTTTGTCTTCAGGCCAAGATGTGACTGTCACCGAACCTGCTGCTGCTGTTTCAAAGGTACTTGTATATGAGCGTGGGCAAAGAACACGGCCAAAACAAATAGCACAGCAAAACTCCCTTGTAAGAACTTTACATCTTATGATGACAAGTCAAGGGAAGCAAGATCTGGCGTGGGCACTGATCCATCTGGGCTGTCAGTGAACAGCCTAACCCCGGGTGCCTGCTGCTGCCTCAGTTTTCCTTTACCTGCAAACGTTCAGTGTAGCTGCTGTAAGCTGTTCTGATCTGTGACAGTGTAACAGTTGTACATAGCTGAGGAGGAAACTGCTAAATTAGTGATTAAAGTCTGCAGGTTTTTCATTCAGTCTTTCTTTTCCATTTCTGATGTCTAATCCTTTTTAGCATTTGGCCTTGGTGTTCTGGGAAAGGAAATTCAACTCAAGTAGTGGTTGGTTGAGAAGACTGAAATCCTTATCTATGGGTTTAAGAAACTCCATAGTTTATGCTATTTTAAAAGGCAGCATTTGCAAGTCGTTTTTTATTTCTTTATCATGTTGTTTGGATGTGTATATAAATAGATTTATACATGTAGATATAATCCTGTCACTTTTTCTCTAGGAACAGGTTTATGAGCCACACAATCCTATTGAGTCGTTGGAAACTGTTCTAATGAGAGATATCTTAGTCCATGGTAAGAGGATCCATCACTGTTATAGTCTTAGCTATATTCTTATTAGAAAGTAAAAATACCTAGCATATTTGTAAGGAAATGTTTCTCAAGCAGCCATCCCATGTTGTCTACAGTTTATAATGCCTATATAAACTGGTATAACTTCAAAATAAAGGGTGGTGAGGGAACAAAAAGAAAAAGTACTGCAAGTCATGACCTGTTAAAGTGGTGCAGCAGAGGAGGCTCGAGTCATAGTTTAAAAACTGAATTCAGAGCTCAGTACAGCACAGCATTAATCGTGTTTTTACTTAAACACAGTTTGTAGGAAGGAAATAGCTTTTATGAGAGGAGCTGAAATATTTGCAAGGTGGGATAGGGTCTCTTGGGTGGTATGTTAGCAGTTTGATTCTGATAGAAAAAGCAAGCTCAAACTGAGACACAGGGTGAGAATGATCGTTTAGAGTTTCCCTTAATTTTGTTAAGGCCACTTTTAGGGAAAAGTATAGTTGAGTAGCTCAAGCCTGTGAGGGAGGTAAATGTACAGACTCCCTCTCTGTACATTATTAGAGAATACAGGGGGTTTTTTCTATTTACATAGAGGAGAAAAACCCTTGTCAAACGTCATTTCTTTCATGCAATGCTTCCTTTTGACTTTTGTATGTTTTACAAATGTCTCAAAATGTGAAATGTAAACGTGGCACAAAACAGCAGACATTTAGAAACAAATAGATTTTTTTGAAATGCAGGTGATGTTGATGCATAGAATACCGAGCTGTGTACATTTGTACTTCATGTTCCTAATACTAAAGCCGTCTCAATTTTACTTCTGTCTTTAATTGTCCTATCTGTCTGCTCGCTCTAAAGATTTCAGTTCTGACCACATCGCCAAAGACGTTAGAAGTAACGTGTCAGATCTAAGCAGAAAGAAAGTTAGTTTTGCAGAAGAAGTGAGCCTGGAAATATTTGATGAAAGCAAGCCACCTATCACGCCACCTGTCACACCAACACAACCAGGAAATAGTTCATTAGATGGACATGGCTCCCAGCTGCGATCCGTGTTGAAGAAAACACCAACGAAGCAGCTAATGGATGGCACCAAGGTTGGTTAACTGACTTACGTGGAGGTGCTAATACTAAGGATGAACTTGTGCAGTCATTACTGAACTGCCAGAGGTTGAATCGTGGTTAAAGATACTTTTTAAATAAGGGACATGCATCAGAAATAATTTAATGCTATGAGTGTGTATCTGTTTGGTCATCTTGGAAACTTCACAGCTCATTCTCACGTTATCACAGAATCCCAGACCGTTAGGGATTGGAAGGGACCTCCAAAGCTCATCCAGTCCAATCCCCCTGCCGGAGCAGGAACACCCAGATGAGGTTACACAGGAAGGCGTCCAGGCGGGTTTTGAATGTCTGCAGAGAAGGAGACTCCACAACCTCTCTGGGCAGCCTGGGCCAGGGCTCTGTCACCCTCACTGAGAAGAAGTTTCTTCTCCAATTGAAGTGGAACCTCCTGTGTTCCAGTTTGTGTCCGTTACCCCTTGTCCTATCATTGTTTGTCACCGAGAAGAGCCTGGCTCCATCCTCGTGACACTCACCCTTGAAATCTTTATAAACATGAATGAGGTCTCCCCTCAGTCTCCTCTTCTGCAAACTAAAGAGCCCCAGCTCCCTCAGCCGCTCCTCAGAAGGGAGATGCTCCACTCCCCTGATCATCTTTGTAGCCCTACGCTGGACTCTCTCCAGCAGTTCCTGTCCTTCTTGAACTGAGGGGCCCAGAACTGGACGCAATATTCCAGATGTGGTCTCACCAGGGCAGAGTAGAGGGGGAGGAGAACCTCTCTCGACCTAATATGATAATAACCTTATGAGAATATCCACATGTATGTTGTTGAGTTTTATTCAGTTAGAAAACAAGTAGTTTTTTAAACAATAGAACTGATGATTAAATGCTGTTTATAGACGTTATTTTCACTTTTTATTTGAACAAGGACAATGTTTTAATTAAGTGGTATTGAATAGATGATTGTATCACTTAAATTTGATAGGAATACTCGAGCGATGCAGTTCACGGAGGAGGAGGTGAATGTTTGGCAGTCTCCAATTGTGCAGGAATCATTGAAGCATTGCAAACAGGTCAGATTCTCCTTTTGTTTTTTTAATAGAGTATTACGTGGGATCATAAGGTTTTGCAAAATCTGAAGATGATATGCATTAACCACCACTGAAGTAGCTCATGTGCAGCACCCTACTTCATGAAGAAGAAAATAAGGTTGCCAAGGAAAATGATGTCTATTTAAAAAAAAAAAATCCCACCCCAAAACTTCAGAAAGCCTCTCACACCAGAGTTGAATCACTTGTTTTTCAAGAAATTTTACACTTGTACACTGAAACTCATGGCACAACTTGTTGTTTCTAGTCTTCTATTCTTTTTCCTTCCTTAATTCTTGATACCATAATAAAGCTATACTGATAATTCGGTTTGAATCCAAAAGACGTGTAAAGGTGGTGTTTTGCTGTTTGCTTGGGAGTGAGGAGGGTAAGATTTTTTAGGAGAATGTTAAGACCTATAAAAAGGCCTTGAAAGAGACTCTACTCTGTGAAAGTTCCAAGTTCACCTAACTTGTGTTTTATTCCAATAGAGAAAACTGAAAGTCATAGCTCCGAAAAGCCAAAGAAGAAGAGAGTGACTTTTGGAGAAGTTCTAAGCCCAGAAATATTTGATGAGACTTTGCCTGCGAATACCCCGTTGCGCAAAGGAGGAACACCGGTCCGGCATCCAGGGCTGCAAAGCAGTAGCCCGTTTGCATGGTCACGTCTCACTGAAGAGCCATTACCCCAGCCAAACTTCGATTGCATTGATGTAAGGTGTTTTGGTTTTTGTTTGCTTGTTTTTTCTTAAGCTCTAAAAACAACCTCGTAGTGTCTGTGAATGTTCATTTTTTTGTTTAATTTTTTCCCCAATCTGCTTGCTTTTGAAAAGAAATTGCTAAAATAATAAAATAAAGTCTGCTTCAGGCTTTAGAATGACACTGTGAGACCTTTTCCTTTAGCTGTATGAATTCTGAAGAGCATTCTGGCCTGTAGAGCTATGTTTACCATTGAGCCCTGGTAGCACGTGAAATGTTTTTGCCTTGGCTTATTCTCGTATTTTTGATACAGTATTTCTTTTTGCCATATATAGCAAGTGAGCTGCTGCATTCTGTAAGGGGGAAAAAAAGTAAATCACCTAGCTGTTTCAAACACAAATGCTGCATTCTGTAAGGGGAAAAAAAGTCACCTAGCTGTTTCAAACACCACCTGACAAGGTGTTTTTCAGTGTATATCTGGTATAGTATATTGCTAAAAATAAATAAGTTTGTTTGTTTGTTTAAAGGAATGCATTGAGCCTCTTGAAGTGTTAGTGGAGAGTTCTGTTGCTGCAGAAGACCCCTCACCTGTTGAAAATGCAGAAGGTAACCCCAGCCTGTATTTTTGTAATGAGATAATGCATCTTTCTGTATCTCAAAATTGAGGGATGACATAGGAGCTTTTTGTTTTTTTTTTTAATACAGGGGATGTATTTGAGTTGTGCCAAAATTTAAATGCTCTTTCTTTCTTCTAAAGGTCTTTGCAGTGGCTGCAGTGTTAACCTGGTGTTGAGGTTAACTGGATGTTGTTTGACTGTGTAGTATTTTTCTGTGGAAGTGGCTGACCTAGTTAGATTTACTGCTTTAAGTATTTGAGCTTACTGTCTTGATTCTGATATTGTAATGTTGGTGTTTTTACAATAGCAAGCAAGACAACAACAAAAAAACCTGAAAGGGTGTGGGGGGTGTGGTGTGTGTGTGTTTGTGTGTATGTATCTGTGAAAGCTGTGTAACTGATAGTGATAACCATCAGGTTACCAAATCCTCACAAGTTCTGTTTTCCTGTTTTGTAAAATAAGACTTTTTTATCTTGCCATGTTTGATAGTCCTTTAAGCAGAAAACATTTCTCAGGACTCAGATGACTAAACATGCCATGCATAGTGTTAGAAATTAGCAGAAAACTTCCTCAAAATGTTACTAACTTTGTGCTGAAACTGAATCGGTATTCTTTTTATTCCATATATAGTAGCAGAAACTGGCAAATCTGATATGATAACAACTCATTCTGCTAAAAGGAAGGTAAGTTTCTTTAGTGATTATGTTTGATTATTTTTTTTAACTTCTTCAGGCAGTATTGTCGCCTTTTATACCTCCTGATGCTTATAAGAGTTTCCACAGCCTCAGGTTTCAGGATTGTATAGATCCAGGTGTATGGAAATACCTCATGTTAGTGCAGGTAATTGTCTTAGGGAAATCTCGTGTTTTAGTGAAAGTGGCCTTCCAGTTATTAAAAATACACGTATCTCTTCTGGTTGCTGGAATTTTAAGGTGCATAGAACTTATTGTATAACAATTTCTGCAAGAAGTGCTTTCAGACTTTAGTGTTGTACAGTTCTAGTGTGCTTTACTGGAGGGAGAAGGCAAAATAAAAAGTAATGTGGAAAAAAACAACCCATCTTCTCTGGAAGAAATGGCTGAAGATGAAAGTAAACTATTTTCTCATTAGAATGTCCTTTTTGTACAAGTAGAAATATATTGTACTGTGTGAGGAGACAAGCTCTGTAAGTCTTAATTTCCATGTGAGTGTCTAGCTTTTATGACCTCATATATGAAATAACGGAGGCTACTTACAACATGATTCTTAGGGCTGTTGGACTGTGGTGTCTTTTTAAAAAATTTTAAAATGTGCACATACACATGCACCCCAACAACTTAAAATTCGCGTTCCTCAACAGCGTAGCGCCGTTTCAGAGGGGACAGATTTGAGCATCTCAGGAGCCACAGATGCTAAGAATGCTACAGATACAAAAAATCCAAGAAAGACCAAGTCTCAAAGACAGAAGAATACAACCACACCTGCTGCCAAAAAGACACAGGTAAGTGACAGCCCACTGATAAGAGCTGAAAGACCAATGTCTTTGACTTCTAGATTTGGTTAAGTGAAACAAAAATCAGATCTCGTGTCTGAGAAATAATTCTCCTTTGCTTTGAGTTTTTAGATTAGTTTGTAGATGGCAGGATGAGTGGAAGCTTCATTTTAGGTGCAATAATTATTATCTGTCAAAATCCAGTAATGGTGTCACTTATCTGTTGGAAAATACTGTACAGGAGCATTTTAATTACTTTGTGCTCTATTCAATCTTCTTAATCTTTTCAGAAAAGTAAACATACAGGCTATGGGAAAAGAAGAAAGAAAAAAGTCAAAAAATCTTTATATGGGGAAAGAGAAATGGCTTCTAAGAAACCTCTTCTCAGCCCTATCCTTGAAATTTCAGAGGTTTTGTCTGCTGCCTCATCTCCAAAATCACCAAAGTCAAATGCCTTTTTTTCAGGTAATGTGGTTTTTAGTTTTGTTTGGCCTTGTTCTTTCTGTTCCTTCTGATTTTTTTATTTCAGCAGTTACATAAAAACCCCTGTTGTTATCTTGAGTTCTGCACATAGAGCCCAGTATAGACTTTCTACTTTTAATTGTTCCTATAATAGTAGAGTCCAGAGGGTCTAATGGATTAATAATCTCCAGATGGATGAATTTAGCTCTTGCTGGACTCCAGTGTAAAGCTGACAAAAAAAGAAAAGCCTCTCTGTACTTTGACTTGATATTGATATTTTAGATATTTTCATAGTCTTCACAACTGGTAAGTTGGGCATGAATGTGATGTGCAGTAGCTTCCTGTTTCTTTTTTTACACTGGTTATCTGGAGTGGTTCTTTAGGAGGTTATTTTTATGTAAGTAAAATACTATAAAATCATAGAATACCAGGTTGGAAGGGACCTCAAGGACCATCTAGTCCAGCCTTTCAAGATAAAAGTATAGTTTAAAAGCTTTTGTTGTAATATTCTAAAAAAGATTTTGTACATTCACAAGTAAAGTAACCATGTGCTTATTCTAATTCAGAGGACATATTTGTAGATAAAACCAAATTCAGGAACGCTTGCGAGGACGTTCAACAGAAACCAGTGGTTGAAAGAATGCAAGAGGAAAACCCCTGTGCAGTTCATGTGAGCTCCAAGGACCCGGACACCGTAGAAGCCAGCAGCTCCAACGATGCAGCGTTTCAGGGGTCGGATGGTGATCTGCACTCTGCTTCTGGCATTGATCATAAGGTAAGAAAAAAAGAAATAAACCTAGGAGTGATGAAACTTTGCGACAGGCTGCCTGGAGAGGCCGTGGAGTCTTCATCCTTGAAGGCGTTATTCAGAACTCAACAAGGCCTCAAGGAACATAAGTTTGGCCCTGCACTGGAGCAGATTCCAACAAACAGTCTTCTGTGTGTTGGTTGGGGTTTTGTGAGCATGCCTAGACTTGGTGAGGAAAACAGGAGCAATAGAAAAAAAGCGGTTGTTTGTGGATTACCTTCTGCCTGTGTTTAATTTGGTTTTTTTCTTCAGTTGTCAAGCATTGTGCCAGATGGGAAGTGTGATTTTGATGCATCTGACTATTTCCAGCAAGAGGAAGAGACTGCATGTGTAAAAGAGGCAAAAGGAAGTGGTTCCTTGATAGAAAACAAGAAATTACAAGGAAATCTCCTCAATGAGGCAGAGCAGGTAACAGGGCTGGAATTTCTGGAGCAACAAGACACCAGGGTACATGAGGGTGCTCAAAGACCTCAGTGTCCACAGACGGATTCTGTAACAGGTAGTCCACCAAGAAGAAGACGAAGAAGAAGTAGTGCCATCTATTTTCCTCCTGTTGAAAACCTGGAAATAAATGGAAACAGTTTTCCAGTTTCTTCTTTTAATGTGGAAGAAGTTTTATCTGCTCCTGTGCTAAGAAATGACTCTTCAGAGCCTTTTAGAAGAGCGAGCAGTAGCAGTGGCAATAAGAGAGTGAGGCGCAGCATGAGATTACATAAAGATGCAGAAATTGAAGGGCTTGCGTGGATTCAAGTACCCAGCGAGACTCAAAACAACCCTCCGCTGCTGGGTTCTGCTTGCAAAATCAGGAGAAGAATAAGCACATCCATCCTTACGGAATCGGAGAACATTCACCACCGAGAGCAAAATCTCATCCAGTTCTCAGCACCAGGGAAGGAGAACCATGACTCTGTTGATCTCACTGGTGGGCCTTGCAAGAGATGGAGGAGAAGCCTGTGTGTATCCACTCCTCGAGAGACAAAAGCTTGGTCTCAAACCCGAAGAAGGAGCATATCAAATTCTGTATATAGGGAGGACAGAAGTAACCAAAAACACTCATGAAAATACCTCTTGAAAAGAACATTTAGTGAGGTTTCAGCTACCTCTGCTTTTCTAAAGTGAAGGTGAGTATTAGGGTCTCTTTTCAGTGCTGTCTCCTTCTTGCTCCTGCTTACATTTCTTACTTATTTCCTTATTCTTTTTCTGGGTAACTGATTTTCCTTGTCTTGACGCCTAAAATGCTGATAGGGCTCTTTTCTTTTTTTTTTTTGAAAGAACAAGGATTCAAGGTTATGATTTTGATTTAATTTTTTTGAGTTTATTTGAAGTAGATAAAAGTGAATTTGTCTTTAGTAGTTAAGCCATGATGTTGTGAAGGGTGCCCTTTCAGCTGGAATTGCTTGAAATGTTGATGTTTCCCATGTGCGTGATCGTTCCTTGTAAATTGCTTTTGAAATCTGCGTGAATTTTCTACCAGATTTCAAAAATATCCTAAAAAAACCTCTTGAGACTCTCTGCAAATACGAAAGAAATCACTTCTGGCTTAAAGGGGAGAAATAGAAGGTGGGGAAGCTGTTACCATCTGAAAAGACTTTGCATTACCTTCTGGGCGCCAGCAGGGGTAGAGTTCCTATGAGTAAGACTAAATTTTGTGTTAGGAAGAGTTAATGAATTCTGCTTCTCTGGTGTGAAGGTTGGTCATTTAAAAAAAAAAAAAGCTTTTAAATCTTTATTGTCTAGAACATTAGTTTTAAAAAATGCAATTGGCTAAGGGAAGCGAAGCATTCATCATACAGGGAAGCTGTACTTCATTTCTGGACGTTTTGAATTTTTGGTGTGTGTATGTACAAAATACCGTGCATGTTATTCAGTAGTTGAGCTGTCATCTCACTGTTTTCATTTTTCTAGTCTGAACAATGTAATAAAAAGTGATGGCTGTAGGTGGTCTACTTAAACATTTGCTGTTGCTTTCATTTTTCACACGGCTCTGTTTCAGCCCTAATGAAATACCTGTGCCAGCTTGAAGGAAATAGCTTCCTGTTGAAAATGATCTCTTCTGTGACCTTGTTTTTAACATTATTGATGTGGAATAAAATACTTTATGTACTTGGCTGCTTTTATAAAGCTTAAAAGAAACAGAACAGTTTCATTTTTACGCATGTTTTACTTTTCTCTGCAGACATAATCAGATTTTTCCCAGGACAAGGACTCCTAAGGCACCTTGAAAGAAACTTCACTGCTTAAATGCTGTTCATCTTGTGCTGCTTTAGAAACTTTAGTGGCGTTATCAAAACATTTTCCTTGTCTTATTTCGGGATTTGCTTTTGTGCCACACTGAAAATTTTAGGTTTGGAAACAGAATGGCAATAGGTCCTTGGGTTGTCTTGTAGCGGCAGCAGTATGTTGGCTCACCAGCAGAGGGCAGTCTGACATGAGTTTTTGGGGTTGTAACTGCCTTTGAAAATGAGACCACAACATACAAAATCTTTGAGGAGATGCTAAGATGAAAACTAATAATAACTGCTACTTCTAACAAAAAAAATTATCAAAGCACCAACTGAACTAAGCAGTGAATTAATCTGGAAAAGTGAAATGTTTATGTATTGCGTTCAGATACAACTTTCTATATGGAAATCACATCGCATTCTTAAAATACAGTAGAGTGTTAGAGTTGCAGCTGAGATGTTAGGGTTTACCTAACAGGTTTTAGATAGCAAATCTTGCAGTGAGTGAAACCTTTGGAGACTGAATACCAGCCTTGAATAGTCATGTCAAATAAAGAGATGTCCTGGAGGAAGAGACAGTAAACTGGTACGTGTGGTACCACAGGGCTCAATCTAAAATGCTGCCTGGAATGTGCTTTTTGTGATGCTGCTGTCCTGTGCATCAGTCACAGTGGCACTAGAAGAGAATTCTCCCTCGAGGTTTCTTGAGTGTATAGGCTAAGTGCACTTTAGATGGGAAGTGAAGTGTGAGGAAAGTCAGAAATAGAAGAGCAAGGGTAAGGAGAAGAAAACAGAGCTTGGATTTTCCTCCTGGCACAGCTTGGCTGAAAAGAGTTTGTTAGGAATGATACATAGATGCTTGATGGCAGTTTGCACGGCTTTCAGGAGGTTGAAACCTACAGAGAAACAGGTTGCAGTTAACGGGGCTTAATCTGGAGAGGACTTGAGAGGAGTCTTCAATTATGCAGAAGGTTGGGGAGGTAATGATCTGTTCTCCATGGCTGTACTGAAAAAAAGAAATAATGTGTGTAAACTAGAGAAAAAATGGCTCTGTGAAACATTAAGAAAAAGTTCCAGCAGCAGAGATAGTTGGGGACGGGAATACATTGCCTCGGGAAGTTGTGGAATCTCCATCACTGCAGGCTTTTAAGAACAGATTAAACAAATATCTGTCAGGAATGACATACGATCTTTCCTAGGGGTAAGGATAGGGCCTGGATGGCCTCTTGAGGGCTTTCCTGGCTGTGTTTTCTGATTGCTAGAGATTAGGGTTGCAAGAGGTGGTTTGGGACTTGCCTGATAGTTAAGACCTGAGATAGAATCAGTCATGGAGCTGGGAGCCGGAGACTTTCTGACACTGGGGCCTGTTTAGCATGGGGAGGAACTGGGGAATTTGGGAGAGCTTTTCCTGCACAGCTAACAAAATGGTCTTAGTACTGGAAGAATTCAGATCTCGTGACTCACTGCTCTTCCTCAGAAGACAATCTCCACGTGTAACCTACAACTTGGTGGCCGTGCTGTTGTGCAGGAGGTGTGAAGAGCAGAGTGAGCAATGCTGTTCCGTTTTCAGCTTTGCTTGTCTAAAATTGAGTTATCGTTAATCTTTGAATGACAAACAACTTCACTATCCCTGTTCAGTCAACGGAAGAACTTTCTGCAGTGGTCTCTTGTCTTCATTGCCATGCTGGGGTGTGGGAATTAAAATACAGGTATCTTTTGTGTGAGTGCAGACAAGCGTCAAGATACCTTGAGTTTGTGGTTCTAGTTTTCAGCTGTTAATTGCAGTTAATTTTAATGGTGTTCCGTCACCATTAGTGGCATCTAAATAAATGTGTGGTGTTGGCCAGTCTCTTTCACCTCTCATTTACTCTCCCAAACCTTCTAAAGGGAGGCCTTTTCTCTTTAAAGGGTTGTTATAAAGATTACTTTCTTTAAAAGTACTTCACTAACGTTAAGTGCTGCACTGTATAGACTTTAAATGGCTTCAAGTATGGTAATAGCACTAAGTGTATATTGCCGAATAATTGCATTTAGCAGATTGCCGTGTAATTATCATGCTCTGACTGACAAAGAGGACAAGTGGTGGGTCCTAGAAAGACTGATTATTTTGCCACTCTGTAATTATGATGTCGTTAATAAGTAAGAGTAATTACACATCACTTCTGCTTGTGCTATCCTGTGAAGTGCAGCCTTGATACTTTGCAGATAGCTGAATATCTGACGAGCAGTGCAGAGTATTTCACAGTTGGAGAGGTCTTTGCTCAAATCTGCGTGGTGTTAGTGAGGTGAGGGTACGGAGAACTACAATACTCACACTTGAATTCTTCAGGAAGTTTTGAAGGGAAAACGTTAGTGTTTTCCAGGAATTCTTTCATACCAGTATTTTGCTATAATTAAGATGCACATAGGTTACAAAAGTGGAGTTTATATGATGGAAGTTTTCTTAAGTAAGAAGTGAAATAATTTTTTCAACCTGACATTCGTGGTAAGTAGGGGAAAGAAAATAACAAGAATAGTACTTGATTATTTTTTTTGTACTTTAAAACCTACTCTTCAGCTTACTTTTCTCTAATGCTTCTGACTAATCAGGCATACAAGGCAATACTGAAACACCTCAGTGTTGCACATAAATTTCACTCTTGTATGTTGATCTAGTCTAGCTGTGTTTAGAAATGCACTAAAATGTTTGTGCTCTGCTCTTCCTCCTGACTCTGAATCCTGCAGCGCTCTTATAGTTCACTTAGAGACCTGGAAAGACTTTAGTGATGAACTGATCTGTGCACAAGGAAGCAAACAGAAAAAGCATTGTTAGATCTGTGTGCAAGGAAATGGAGAGAGGAAGAATAAAACCACTATTGAAGTATGCCAAGTTTAGCTTAAGCACACAGGAACAGGAGTGGGCAGTGAAAGAAGTGTCATTTTCAAGCTGCTAACAGGTAGGTAAGCATGGACCTGAATCTCAACCCAGAGTGTAGTCGGAGATTCCTTCAAATTGCACATTTATAAAATTGGGAGGTAAACAGTGCAAATCAAATAGTTTTAACTTGAAATAAGGTAAGGTCTAATTTCACTGTGTCCCAGTGGACAAGATGAAGTTGTGCCTGCGACTTGTAGACAAGAAGGCTAATGTATTGGTTTTGTAATCAAGTCCTGTAAATCGTGCATAACAGAGCAATTAACTACTTTAACCAAGCTTTGGAGGGGGGAGAAGAAAAACCTGTGTGTGCTGGGAGTGAGGGCATGGAACATATTCCCTAACTCAAACCTGAAAAACCTGGTGTTAGTCTTGGGTTATTTCCAGTGACCCCTTGACTCCCATCTTCCTGCCCCCTGCCCGGATTTGGAGCTGGACAGCCATTTTTGTTTTTGGAAGGGAGAGGAGACAGATATAATGAATGGCTTTTATTGTGCAATATTTCAAAACCTTTTTGACTGCATTCGGATGGGATGGAAAATGTTCTACCCTGTGCTGCAGCCAAAATAAACACAACATATTCCCTAAACCTGGATGTGTGTTTCACTCAAACTGGCAGTAGTTAGAGCTCTGCTCTTAAACAAGAATTCAGTTTGACAATTTTTAGGCCTTGTTCAGCTGAATGTAACAGCCAAAGAAAATACTTGGATAAAAATTAAATAATACACATATTTACAGCTTGCAGGTGGCATTCATTTTTGTGGTTCACAGTAGTTTTAAGAATCCCTGTTAGCTGGGCTATATTGTAGACTTCTAAAAAATATTCCTGATTGTCTTTTTTTTTTTTTTTTTTTAAATTAGCTTTCTTTATGAGAATAGTCATTCTGAAGGAAAATACATTTTATGTAGCTCCCTGATGGGTGATAAATAGTTGTGATTCAAGGCTTTAAAAGTTTAGGGTCTACCAAGAAGCTGAAAATTCTGCAAACACAAGACCCAGCAAAGCAGCAGTAAAGCCTCTGGACAGAAGCCTGCTATGGACTCCCAGCTCCACTAAAGTTGGGTTTAAATACCCTCTTTATGGTGCAGCCTTACTGCTGGTTTTTAGCATTGCCAGTCAGTTCAGTGAAGACCTTGCACTGTGGAACTGAGATATTTCATGTTGTCTGAACAACATATTTATTAATAATAATGTTGTATTTATTCACCTATGCCCAGAGGCCTCTGACTGTTGTACGGTGAAGGATTAAAACTAAATGGAGTGGAGCATCTCCCTTCTGAGGAGCGGCTGAGGGAGCTGGGGCTCTTTAGTTTGCAGAAGAGGAGACTGAGGGGAGACCTCATTCAGGTTTATAAATATTTAAAGGGTGAGTGTCCCGAGGATGGAGCCAGGCTCTTCTCGGTGACAAACAATGATAGGACAAGGGGTAACGGACACAAACTGGAACACAGGAGGTTCCACTTCAATTGGAGAAGAAACTTCTTCTCAGTGAGGGTGACAGAGCCCTGGCCCAGGCTGCCCAGAGAGGTTGTGGAGTCTCCTCTGCAGACATTCAAAACCCGCCTGGACGCCTTCCTGTGTAACCTCATCTGGGTGTTCCTGCTCCGGCAGGGGGATTGGACTGGATGAGCTTTGGAGGTCCCTTCCAGTCCCTCACGGTCTGGGATTCTGTGTGATTCTGTAAATTATCAAATCAGACACCACGCCTGGACAACCCCCACCCTCCAAACAAATCTTATTCCTCCCAATCCCATCCTACAGCAAAAATCCCTTTGAACAAATAACATGCGAAACTCTTAATATTTTATCATTATGGTGAAGTTATTAAAGATTACAAACAAAATATCTCAAAGTCTGAAGAGAAGTTGCAAGACCAAATAGTTATCATTCCTCGAAAGCCCTAATGATGTAGTAAACTAAACAAGAGAGGAATCAGAAAACTGGGCTTTTTGTTCCCTCTGGGTTTGGTTTTGTGCTGTTCTTGAGTTGTTTCTCAGTCTCCTTGCTCTCTGTCTTTCGTTTATTTGCCAGCACTTGTAACATCAGCATGAAAAATATGGATCTAATATCACCATCCTTTAAATCAACTGAGTTATACTGAAGATACAGTTGAAGCCATGCTTCATCTGTCATAAATAACCTGCCTGTGTCATACAAATGTTTGGACAAACAAATGCACTCAGTCCCATGTTCAGAAGGTCAGTAATGCTGAGTTTCGGTAGTAAATAACATTTGCTAATGCAAATCTATTAAGGTTGTAAGGGGATTCATGTTTGAACTGTGACTTGGCTATGTTGAGTATCCTCGTGTGTGCTATTGAGGAGAAAGTAATCGTGTGGGTACAAATATTAATGGTGAATAAAAAGGTCATTTTACTCTCCCCTCACAAAAAAATCCCAAGTACCCTAGGAGTGTTTTGCAAAGAAAGCTCTATGAGGTTTATATGAGGAGTACATCATGTACTTGTACACCTTAATGCTGAGCATTACACAACACAAGCTATGGATTGTGAGTCTCAAATATTCACTTTACGTTTGTCTTTTGCATCTCTCCCCGTGCTTGTTTCTCAGTGCACAGGGCTCTTGTACCGTACTGGGGTTTCCTGCATCGCTGTTCCACGGATATGGGGAGTGCTGCTCTCTGCTCTGCCTCGCTATCCTGCTTCTGTCTTCCCAATACTTCCTCCTCTTGCCTGATACACCGATGTCTGGCTCTTGCCACTCACAGAAAGTTGATTCGCAGAGTGATGATCCAAAAACAGGGAAGCAAAGCTGCTGGTAGCACAGAGAATGTGTGCATACACCAGATACTGTGAGTTAAGCAAATTAAAGCATCGCTGCTGGGAACTTTCTAATGCTTCCATACTGCTGCTTAATAGAGGCACAGAAAGCTGCAGTCGCAGCCAGATCTGTGGTGTTAAGTGCCTTGGAATTGCACCTTTGTATAAGAGTTAGAGAAAATGATAAGGTTATAGCAGAATTAAACTTGTGGTTTCTTACTGACACACGGGATAGCCAAAGCCTTAAATTGTTCCTTTTTTATTAGCAAAGAAAACCTCTGCTTCTGCAAATGCCTTTTTTTCTCATCCCACTAAGGATCATCAAGGGCAGGGACTTGGGGTGGTAGTTGAGGAGAAGCCTTACACTAAATCCTAAAACTTTCCATCTTTTTAGCCTGCTTTTCTTCTGCTTGCAGTATTGAATGCAGCAGAACTAGTAGAACCGTGCCAAAAGCTGTTTAAACAATATTAAGATGTTTTCTTCAAACTTCTCCCTAGGAAGATACTCTTTTTCAAGAGGAATGTTTTCCCTGGAGCATTACATCATGAACTGGTTCAGTTCTTGGAGTAAGAAATTGGACCAAATGGTGGAGAAGGTCTCCAGGGGAAACATACTTATGCTGTTAAGTATTCCCACCAGAAAGCTTAGAAACCGCTTACATATTACCATTCTGTCCACATTTAGCCTTTCACCTTACTGCAGCTGAACAGGGGGAAGGGGGGTGGCTCGACTTTTTTCAGGAAACTTGAGCCTCCTTTGTTTTTGTCATTACGTTTCCCCCCGCTCTTACTGTATCTCGTGAACTGAGCTCTGGGAAGGGACCGTCTCCTTTCTGACAGTAATGCTGCATGAAGATGGGTTTGTTTTCTAGGCAAGCCGCTAATGAAATCTTAATTATGAAATTGGAAACTCTGAATTTAGGGGGTTTTTTGAGGATTAAAATGAGAGGACCAGAGGATGGGAGGGATTTGGGTGGATTAATGGGACAGCAGTCGTATGAACCAAGTCGGAGCTGTGTTTCCTCTCATGTACGAACTGGTTTCCCATCAAAGATGAAGGCACTTGATATGGTTTCCTATATCAGCTGAACATCTCAGAACAAGGAGAAATATACTCCTTAAATTTAGCAGTGCTGATCAACAGACTTTTATTTTTTTGGAATATCTACGCTGTAGGTTTCTTCTCATTCAAAGGATGTGACATTCCACAATTGTAAGAGGCTGAAGAGATGGTCAAGCCCTACAGATGCTTTCTCTATTCCTATTTGATATCTTTCTAAAAAGTGGGGATTTTTTTAAAAGAAAAAGATCACAGGTAGAGTTCAGCTGTGCATAACAAGAAGGACCATTGAGCTCTTCCAGCTGCTGAGGGACTGGCACTAAAACTGGTGACTGGAAATTGGCACGGGATTGGAAGAGACACATTGAAATACTGGAATCGTATTAAATTCACACCAATTACACTGTGCTCATGCTTGCTGCATTCAGGTTGTGGAATCATTCAATAACAATGTAGAGCAGATAGTGCAAGATTGTAGAAAGAGAGAGGCTGTTTTGGAGGGTACTGAAGTCCCTGGAAATGCTCCCGTTGGCTGCAGTAGGTTCTAGATGAGGGCACAGACGTTGTACTTTATTGCAATAGGGGAAAAAGGGATGGTTGTAAGCTCAGCCCTTGGACCTGTTGTCCAGAACCCCGATGCAACCAGGTATTCTGATATTTCCTTTCCACCACAGAACACAGGCAGCAAAGTCAATACAGTGCAAACTTCTGACACTGGCAATTCCCAGCGCTTCCAGAATATGCGGCTCATAATGCACTTCTGCTTTCAAATGCTGAACTCCTATGAATATTTAGTAGAATGGCCACTTAATCTTCCTGCTGCTGTTGACGAAATGTAAGAAGATCTATTTACTTTTGCTTCCTTTCTCAGCCATTTTTTTCAGTGCAGAACAAACTTCTACAAACTGATTGCACCAGATGATTTAGCGGTATGGCCAAATAGTCCCTGCTTGATTAAGATGGATGGTAGCTGTATTTGGAGCAATAGTAATTAAGACTCCCATAGCAAGCAAGGAAAAATAACAAATTAATCTAACGAGAGCTTATGGGGAAACTCTTAAATTGAAAAGTGTTCATAAAAATCCCAACTTCCGTGACACTAGCGAAGTCTTAGTTTACTGAAGGTCACAGAATTATTAAAAATATTTTTATTGTATTTATTTTAATATTTTTATATTTGTACGCTTTCCGTTTTAAAAAACTATTAAAAGTTTAGCGGAAGCTTAAGACCTGAATTCTTCAACAGAGAATAGACACTTCCAGTTGAACCACCAGAGCTCTTTCAAATGAGATAAACCGCTCATAGTCAATTTGTAACCGTCCTTTGACCTGATACGCGCAGATGACAAGATGTCTTTCCACCACAAGCACACTTCATTTCTAGATTGCATCATCTGGCTTGGTCAGGAAT